TTTTTTTGAGAAGGCTTCATTTCCTACTATAGAAATTCACTACTATATGAAGCTTCCTCCTTTCTCGAGTACTACTACTTACTAATGTCATATATGTAAAACAAGTAGGAAATGCTGAACTGGATTTTTTTTTTTTTTTCCTAAACAGGTTTTTTTTTTTTCTTACTATGCAATTCTGTTTTTATTTTTTTTTCCAGATTTTATTTATTTGATAGAGAGATCACAAGTAGGCAGAGAGGCAAGCAGAGAGAGAGGGAAGCAGGTTCCCTGGTGAGCAGAGAGCCCAATGCGGGACTCGATCCCAGGACCCTGAGATCATGACCTGAGCTGAAGGCAGAGGCTTAACCACTGAGCCACCCAGGCGCCTCTCTGTTTTTATTTCTTAAACATTTTCCAAGCTTTTTGACTCAGTTTTTTCAGGTGAGAATAACTTTTAAAATATCTGTTTTGTGATGTTACTTATGTTAAGTGGGGAACACAAATAAGTGAGACATTTTTGCTCTGCAAATAATTTGCAATCTATTAAGAACTTAAGAAAATTATATACTTCAGAACAACACAAAGTTGAAAATAATGAGTGCCATAGCAGCAATGGGCATAACAATATTAAATCTTCTGTTAGGAGGAAGAATAGAACCCTTAAATCCCGACTATGTCAGTCTGAAGTAATTTTACATTTTCTGATGGGCTATCAACAACAGATGAGAACCTCTATAGTTCCTTAGATCATCCATCCAAAATAGACATTGTACAGTAAGAGATTACTTTATGATTCAACTTATATGAGGTAAGTACATCATCTGACCACAGAATAGTCAAATTCATAGAGATAGAAAGCAGAATGGTGGTTGTTAGAGGCTGAGGAGAGGAAAGAAGGGGAAGTATTATTTAAAAAATGTAGAATCTCAGTTCCACAAGATGAAGGGTTCTGGAGATGGATGGTAATGAAGGTTGTGACAACACTAAAAATGCATTTAATACCACTAACTGTATATTGAAAAAAAATGATTAGGGTTGTAAATTTTGGTACAAATATTTTACAATAAAAATTCAGAAAAAAAAGGTATAGGATTGTATTGTATTCAGTACTAGAGAAACAAGATTAATAAACTCACAGTCTAATACAGAAGAAAAGATGTAATCAAATAACAGCAGGGTCTACTAGGTTCTGTATGCAGTCTGTAGAAAGTGCTAAGGTAGATGCATGCAGACATAAGGATTGGAAATTGGGATGGGTAGGAAGGGGGGTAGTAGTATCTTCAAAAGTTGTAGACAAGAGTTGATATTTGAGCTGTCCTTAAAAAGTGAATAAGAGTTGGAAAGATAACAGAGAAGGTTTCTAAGCAGAAGCACAGAGGTATTAGAGGTATCAAACATCTGTAAATTGAACAAAGCTGTCTGGCTGACATACAGGACCAGGGGGGACAGTGGTAGGAGATGATGTTAGTGACACATGTGGGTTTTTAAAAATACATATGGCCAGGTTTATTACTGAAGATTTATTTTTAAGACATGTTAACATTCAGGGCTTCCTGGGTGGCTCAGTCAGTTGAACATCTGACTCTCGGTTTTGGCTTAGGTCATGAGCTCAGGGTCATGGGATGGAGCCCCATGTAAGGCTCCATGTTCAACAGGGAGTGTGCTTGAGATTCTCTCCCCCTTTCTCTGTCCCTCCCCTCCACTCGAATGTTCTCTGTCTCTCTCTTTCTGTCTTTCCAAAATAAATAAATAAATCTCTTAAAAAAAAAAAAAAGACATGTTAAAGTTTACTAGCTCTGATGGCAGTATGATATAGGATATGGAGTGGGTTGGACCTAAAAGTAAAAAGACAAGATAGCCAATGACAGTCCAGAAGAAGACAGTGGCAATAAAGGGTAAGAATAGATTTGAGAGGCATTCAGAAAGTCAAAATTACTGGGCTTGGTAGTCAATGAGATATGATGTGTAAAAGAGGGAAATCAAAAATACTGCTCAGATTTCTATATCAGAAAATGGGAAGAGGGTGGGTCCCTAAACTGGGATAGTAAATGCTGGCATAAATGCAATGTTTGGCAGATTGTCAAAGAGGGGGTGCTCAATAGATGTTTGTGGAGTGAATAAACACCCCCTGATGATAATGATCATACAACTGAGGATGGGGGGAAAAAGAGTGCGTAAGGATTGATTCTGTTGGTTTTTGACAGATCTAGATGTGCTGGGAAATGGAAGGGGTAAGCTCTGAAGAAGCTAGGCAAAGCAGGGGGTGATATCAAAGCAAAACCCCACAAAGTTTAGGAGTTAAGGCTGGGCTCTAGAAACCATGACTAGATCAGGTTGCCTCTATGTTTGTGAGAAGAATAAAAGTATAGTGGTTCTATGATGTGGTATTCTGAAAGTCAGGCTAAAGAAGTTTTAACTAATTCAGTAGTGATGGTAAGTCATGGCTTTGGGGCAGGGGTTTAGGATTATGATCTTCTGGAAGACTTACAGCAGCAGTGGGATAGGGTGTCTTGAGACAAGGGAGAAAGATCAGTTAGAAGGCTGTTATGAGGGGAGAAGCAAACAACAAGAAGAAAAGGAGCAATGACAGTCATAGCAGGAATGGAGAGGCAGGAGCAGAATCAAAAGATATTCAGAAAAAATGAATACGCAAGATCAAGTTTCTGATTGGGATGGCAGGAGGTTAGAACTGGATTCAGGGTGGACCCAGGGTGACAGAGTGTTGTGGTGTCAATGAGAAGAAATAATGATGTCAGGAAGGCAAGCAATTTTATGCAGAGATAATTGATTCTGAGGCACCAGCAGGATATCCAGGTGAAGAAATATTTTGGGCACCTGGAAATGCAACACTGCAGTTTCGAACACAGACTGGAGCCAGGAATGTAAACTTGGGAGCTATCTGGTGTACGTGATAAATGATGTGTGAGAGAGGATAGGATAGCCAAGGAAAGGAAAAATGAGCCCAATAGAAAAAATCATGGGGGTATGCTTGCCCTTGGCTGGGTGAAGGAAATCTTGGAAGTAGAAAGAGAAGCAGTCCTAGGGAGAGACAAAAATAATCTGGAAAACACACCTCTCAAAAAAAGGTGGGGGGACAGAGCCTCAAAAAAGGAAAGTGATAAAGAGTCAAATAGGGAATTTGAGGCAGAGGAAAACTGGTAAGGGCAGGTCATCTGTGCACAGGGAGAAAGCGTTGATGGGGATGAAGCTGTGCTGGCCAGGGTGAGCAAGGGAAGGTGTGAGATAGGACATGCGGAAGCTGAACTTCTCCATGGCATTTATGCCATGAGCCAGAAGTATAGAGAGCTTGGTTCCTGGTCATGTTGCCATTTGGTTTAAATAAACTCAATTCTCAGTATTCTCAGTAGTCCTATAACTTTCACTGAAACAACAGGGCAAGAAGTATGGGTGCACACAGCATCTGTGACCCTGAAGTTTGGAATGTGATTCACGAACACCTCCTGTCTGGGAGCACTGGGTGTCAACTTTCCTGAGAGGAAAGAATTGAGTTTAAAATGGCCATTTTGCAAAGCAGTATGTATGCCTGAGCTCTGTGTGATAATTTACCAGATATCACCACATGATTAATTGAACAAACCTTTCTGTCAGTAATCTGAAATGGTACTTTCATCATAAACTAAACCCCCAGATGGATTTGTGGCTATGTTTGGACTCTCTGTTTCATTCCATTTTGTAACAGACCTGTCGTTATTTAATTGGGGTTGCCTTGAATCTATGAATTAATTTGAGAAGAACTGGCATTTTTACAATATTCAGTTTACTAAAAAGAAGAGGACTTAAGCCTTCTTTAATAATTACTTTTTCATACAGTCCCAAGCTCACCCTTTTCAGTTTATAGCTATATATTTCCTTTTTGAGTGGCTCCTGTAAATGCATTATTTCTTATACTGTAAGTATGTGCGCATCTGTGTGTGTAAGTAGGAGAGAGGTAGGTGTTTTCTCAGATGAACAATTAAAATTTAAAAGAAATAATCTAAAGCAAATTAAAGTTTTTAAAAACATCTGACATTCATTGAGCTGATAACACATGTAAAAAATGACTTTGGATAATATTACGATGCAAAACAGAAAAAAAATGAATGCAGTTTATTTCCCTTTTATATGACTACTCTTCCCTTACATAAGCCGAGCTGTGATTGTTGGCAGTTAAAACGTGATGGCTGTTCAGGCCTGGTACTAGCAGCAGGAGCGCCATTTTTCTCCTCCTACCACACAGAGCTCTAGCTAGACTCTTGCCACAGGAAAGCAACTCTGCTCAGCCCTGCTGCTTGAATCCCCAACCATGCCCATCAGCTCTTCTACTCGCCCTCCCAAGGTGCTGGGAGGATAGGTTGAAGGAAGCCATACAAGCTCTCCACTGCCAGTCATATTCCCCACAGACCCAGGGGTTTTCGCACAGCTGATGCAGCCATGAGTCAGAACATGCTTGTATTTTATCTCTGCCTTTATCTCAGTCCTTTGAAACATTTCAATTTGAAGAAAAACGGAAAACTATTTAATGAATCTGGACAAGGGGTCAGCAGGCTTTTACTGTCAACAGCTAGGCAGAAAATGTATCAGGCTTTGTGGGCCATATGGTTTCTGTTAAAACAACTTACCTCTGCTGTTGTGTGTGAAAGCAGTCACAGACCATGAGGAAATGAGCCTGGCTACATTCTAAGAACTGGTTCAGTTTCCAAATCCTTATTTCAGACCAGTACATTTCCAAACCATTCATTATTTAAAAAAAAATTGAAAATCTTGTGGAACCAAGCATGACTGCTTGCAAAGCACTGGAAGGTATAGTATGTAGAAAAATCACTAGGAGGATTTCTTACCAATCCTTAAACAATGACTCTGAGCATAGTTGGTATTTGTCTGCTTTCTGAAGCACAAGGGGGAATCACACACACAATAAACACACATATGACACTGCAGTGTGGTCATTGCTTTGAGGAAGAAGAGGAAGTCGAATGAAAACGCTATTATTATTAGTGATGGGAGTATTTGTTCTTACTTACCAATCTTGTACTGCATTGAAGGATTCTTCATTTGTGATGTCATACATTAAAATAAAGCCCATGGCCCCACGGTAATAGGCTGTGGTGATAGTCCTGTATCTTTCCTGGCCAGCTGTGTCCTAAAAAATAACAATTTAAAAAATATTCTTATTATGTTATACAATTTTAATTATATATATTTTTATTATAAACTCTAAAAAAATAAGGCAATACATATTTTGGGAGGTGATTAATTATTCCAGAAATAGTCATAATAGAGATTCTACATTGTACTTGCAACGTATCGCTATATATCTCTTTAGTCTTGTTTTCCCTCATGATTTTCATATGGCAGCTCTGCGAGATTATGAAAGATTCTTTTTTTGGTCAAGATCTAGCTCAAAATATGTTCTACATATGTTCATTCCTGTTAGGCAGCAGATAACTGTAGATAATAAAATAAAAAGATCATACATATGAAAATCTGTACCTTTTTGTTAAGTTTAAAACCAGAAGAGTTCATTAACTCCAGCATTATGTGTTTATAATCTAAGTACAAGCCACTATGGGGGAAAAGAATAATTTTATGAACAGCTTCCTGCTTTCAAAAGGATGCAGTTTAATCTTACTTTATTCAGCTGTAAAATGAGAATAAAAATACCTGCTTTGTGTGGCTATTTGAGGAAATAGACCTGGAGTTCCTGCTCTCCTATTATATAGCCGGGGAACACGGACAAGCCCCCAAACCTCTGTAAATAAACCTCTCTAAAGTCTAGCATGTTTGCTAGGACTACGTGAAACAGTGTATTTGCAGCGCTTCACGCAGAGCCTGGCATACAAATAGTGGTTGATAAATGCTGAGTACTGGCTGCTGTTCCTAAAGGCTGGGGAGGCAAGGCTAGCATACGATGGGAGATAGCAGCTTGCAAACACAGAGGCTCAGGGCCCACAGAAGAGATGACATGCAATAGTGAAATCTGGGAATATGGCAGACATATCGTTAAAGTCACCTGCATACATGTCACATATACTGTTTAGTGTAGCTCAAGAAATTATTCCTCTGTTCACCTGACCCTTGCCCCTTTGTCTTCACTGGATCTGGGCTATGGTTTACGACACAATGCTCCTTGGATTTCCCCTTCACCACTTACCCTAGAGATCCGGCTCTGATTTCTCTTTCCTAGTACTCTAGGTGCTGAGCACTTTGGATGGAAATATTATCTTCTTTTAGACTTTATTCTGGATCCTCTTTCTGCTCTTCTCCCAGAGATACCTCCTTTGCACATGGAGTACATCCTAGCTCCCCCTAAGATTTAATAGCCCTTGGAGGGGAAGCTAATGTGTTGGATGACACAAGAGTAGGTTCCTTACCATCAAAATGAAACTAATATCTCCTGGGTCTCACTCTTGGGATGGGCTCGTGTTGGATATGCTAATGCGCGCCCACAGGTGTTCTCCACCTTGGATGCTTACACTCCACCATAGACTAACCCATGAGAAACCTGAGATTGCTCACAATTTTCTCCTAATCCATGTGGTATATTTTATGCAGCCCCCTGGGTGATCAAAGAAGGCTGAGGAAACCAGCAAATGATTCTAGAAGAACAGGGGGGGCATGAAGAGAAAGTTGAGAATTAGCTGACTTTTCATGAAACCAACAATAGGACCAGGGATGAGACTGGCCTGACTAGAAGAAGATATTTATGTGGTGATATTAGGGATATAAGATTCCAAAGATAGGATGGAAATCAATGATGGTACCCAAAATAGCAAAAACAGAGCAAAATCTGTGGGAAAGATCTTTCAGAACATAAACATATCACCGTTGGCAGAAAACAAAAAGGAAAGTATAGATTTTACCACATGAAAATTTAATAATTCCTTGAATATATAAAAAAGATATAAATAAAATTAAAATGATACATAATCAAATAAAGTCAGAAATATATTTGCATCTTACCAGAGAGACCAAAGGTTACTATCTTTATTATGTCAAGTGGTGCAAGAAATCATTAAGAAAAATGTTAAACAATCTAACTTTAAATTATTTATATAGAGGCACATAAATAACTAATTAATCTGTAAAAAGAGTTGAATCCCAAGGATAATAATACTGCAAAGTTAAATGCCTACCTAATAGAAGTTTCCTGGATATTATTTGAATATTTTATTGTACTTTGCTTAGTATTTTATATATATGAAAATGTAGATGTTTGACCTAAACATGAATATCACAAACTGCATGTAATTAGGAAAAATAATCAAGTTTATTAGGCAGAAAGAAGCCAGTCTTGAGCTTATGTGGATATTCTTACATATTCTTTGGATTTAATTCAATTAACAGCATATCTAATTGTGAAATAAAGAAGAAATTTAGAGAACCAAATTCCCGAAGACTATGTACACAAATCATGGTATATTCAGAGATTGTGTAATGTATTTCAGCTTTCTGGGGAACAAAACATCTTAAAACTAGTCATTTTATTTTAAAACATCTATTTTTGTCTTAAATGCCTATTTTCCAGAATACATTATCCATAGAATTACCTTTTTCTTTCTTATTGTGAAATAACTTTAAATGGCTATCTTGTCCACCATACAGTAATAGCGCTGTGTGGTGACAGACGGTAGCTCCACTTCAGTGAGCACAGCATCACACATAGACTTGTTTAATCATTATGTGGTACACCTGAAACTAACAGTGTGCATCAACTATGCACCAATAAAAAAATTTTTTTACAGTCATAAAAAATATTTAAAAATTAAAAAAGATAAAAATCTGGAAAAGAAAAAGCTTTTTAACATTTGACTGAGTAGTCATCTCACAGGTTGAGGATCCCATTCTTGTTGCCTTCTCTATATAACAGATAGCTTTCCCCTGAATTTCCTCTAGCAGAAAACAGCCAATACAGCTGAGTCACTGCTGAAATCTGACCCAGACCCTTCCTGTCAGACATGTCCTTGACACAGACACTGAAAAATGGTGTGTTGGAAAAGTGTGGCATCTCTTTCTTCTTGACCTCTTTTGGTGATGGCTTTCCTTTTCATAAGATGTTAATTTTATTTTGACAGTAAAGAAACTAGTTCTAGTATTATAAAACATTCATTCCAGTCTATGAGGGTATGTAATCTTTAAGAGAGCAGAAATCAAGGCCCCATTATATTATGACTGATATGTTACAGGAATCCGCACAGTTGGATAGCCATTATGAAAATTTAAAAGTAGACAGAGGGGGACAAAAACCGACTTTCAAGGAAAAAAAAATAGAAGCTTTCAGAAAGCACATAAGTCACAGCAAGGATCAGAATCTTCTATGCCATTCTGATACGAACCCAGAAACACAATCTAATTGGAGGTAGTTGTCAGCTAAAAGCTCTCAGGGACAATAAGAAATCATAACAAATAGGGGTAGTGTATTAGGAAAAACAGAGAGTAGTTTCCCTTCCCAAATGCAAAGACAATAAAAAAGAGTAAAACTAAGCTAATAAACCAGGCACCAAGTTGGTTTTGAGTACAGAAAACAATCTCAGAATTACAAACTCATTAGCATTTTCTCTCCTATGGTTCCAGGAAGAAAAAGAAGTCAGAAAAACACTTCATTACATTTGACATTTACTAATGATGATAGAAGGTTCTATCTGAAAGAAAGGAACATTTTATAATGTCAAGTGCCACTAATGTAATTAAATGTGAACAGTCTCAGAAGGTAACTGGCTAAAATGGTACCTTCTCTCAATTTGCTCAGAAGAATGGCTCCAAAGCTTGGTTTTGCACGGTTACTCTGTTCAGTTAATTCTGATAACTGGGGATACCTGCTGATTTTCTATAAATGTAGGCTTCCTAGAATTGAAAAACACAACTGGAAATCTCTTACAGAGAAAATGAGGGATGGAAATATGATTAAAGATGAAAACTTTCTTCCATGAAAGTTAGCTGTCATTTTCTTCTAAAAAAAACAAAAAACAAAAAACAAAAAACAAAAAACCATTTTAGTTAGTTGATTTTGATTTCACAGTCATGTTTTGTTTTCTTTTGTTGTATTTTTGAGAGAGTGCCTACGTGAATGGTGGAGGTGTGAGGGAGAGGGAGAGAGAATCCTAAAGCAGACTCCTGGCTGAACGTGGAGCCCACATGGGGTTGAGACCCTGAGATCATGACCTGAGCTGAAATCAAGAGTGGGGCACTTAACCAACTGAGCCTCCCACGTGCCCCATTTCTATTCATGTTTTTAAGAGGAAGTTTTGGCTTTAATGATAGGTTTGATGAGCAAATACTTGAGTATACGTCAAGAAAAGAACTGTAAAATGTAAAATATTAGCGGCTTGATAAGTAGTCATGAGAAATGTTCTCAGTTTGAATTTTGAGATTTTTGTCTTTGTTTTTGCCTTAATTTTTTCCTGATAAAATACTCTATATTTTTTAACTGTATGTATGGCATTCCCAAAGTCTTCTGAAGTTATGCAGAGATAACCTGCAGTTTTAAGATAGGGGGACTAACCTTGGTTTGAGTTACATTGTAATAGATTTTTGTTTTGGTGGTGACTTCCCTCTGTATAGATTAAAAGGAAGATGAAAGTAAACATTAGTAAAGTAATATCATTCAAATAATATCATTACAATCAAAATACATTTATTGAATGTCTAGATAGGGAAAAATAGATTGAAGGATAGATAATCCTAATACATGATAAAGTAGGTAATTTTATATGTGAACAAACTAACCTGAACACATTGATGTTAACTCATCAACAAAAGTAATTTAACTAAGGGAGATAATATGTGATAACCCAAAAATATTGTCAACAGAAATGCTAAGTGAGGATCCTGCAACATAAGACATAAAACACACGTTACTCAATTTCCAGATAGATCAAAGGTATGAAATAGAATAAACGCTCAGTCATTTAGTATCTATACACGTAGTAATCTTTTGTACTTTGCTACCAGTTAATTGTAGGAATTATTTTGAATCATCAAATGAAGATTAAACTCTGCTTAATATTTTAATGACTGCTGATTGATTCATTGATTCATCTGTTCATTCATTCAGTAAACATTTGGTGAGTATCTATTGCCAATTAGGCACTGTGATCAGTTTAGATTAAACTTATACTCTATCTATTAGAGACATATTTTTGC